CTCGACTCGAACTCGAACATATAAACTCGAACTCGACTCGAACTCGAGTTTATATGTTCGAGTTCGAGTCGAGTTCGAGTTCTATGTACTGAGTTTGAATCAGGTTCTATCGAGCTTAGTGATGGATCAATCAAGAGCTAGTTGTCTAGGGACAAAAGCTAGTCACTTACTGACTAATACATATCTGAAGGAGTATCTATTAAGTGATGTTTTCTAATACGTATTGTGATGCAAGAAAATCACTACATATATGAGACATCATTATCACTGGTCAATAATTAATGAAAATATACAGTAAACTGAACCAAGTCAGAGCAGATAAGGCTGCATGTATAGTAAAGTAGATGAAACAAGATCGTCGTAGAAGACTTTGGATTCAGTGTTAATTGACGAAATGTAAAAGGTTCTTTCAGGCAGAGGACCCTGGTCTTTCAAAAAAATGACGCTACATTTAATATCACTTGGAATTCATTATCAGTAGGTTGAATTTTAATTCTCAAGAAAGGAACCATCGAGTGACCTCCGGAATGAAGTTTTTAAACAATAGAGTATTTATATTTTCTATAGAAGTAAATAAGCAGTCGGAAATATGATCACTGCAGAGGTCATTGTCACCGCTCTATTAAAACAGATACCTAAAGTTTCGGGCTATATGTGTACATCTGCTAGTTCCGTTTTGGTGCAAAATGTTATTCTATCAGATACTCTAATGCATTGAAAAAGTAGAATATAATAGAAAGAAATTTTTACAAAACATGCTTTTATGTACCTTTATTTTTGTGAATAGTTCTTTACAAGGAATTATTTCTAATGGATTTCTTTTTATATGAATAAATTCTTTTTTTTTGAGTTTCTAACAACAATAGTTAACACCCTCACGACGTAGTAACAAAAAAAAAGCTGAAAAAACAAATAAAGTTAAAGTTTATACGTGTTGTTAGAGAGTTCTTGTTAATATTGTTTAATCGGTACCGAGTTTATCATGTAAATAAACAGACATTGCAAGGTTGTTAGCTAAAAGTCGTGCTCTTTGTTTTCGTCCGTAGTTAGCAGAAATACTGAACGTCGATTCAGATGCAACGCTCGAGGCAGGTGCAGGTAGATACTTTTTTGCCAAAGTAGCTAATAATGGAAGAATGTTTTTATTTGTTCGCCAAAAGAGAAGAGAATCACTCTCTCCATCCACAACATATCTACCAGCTAAAAGTTTATAACTACGAAATTCTTCAATTAATGAGCTTATAACTGTTGTTGGTTTTTTTGCTCGTAAGTTGTTATCAATAGGATCAGCAATAGATTCCAAAAATTCATCAAGAGTTGACTTTTTTGTTGAATGTTTTTTTTTGGCTATAGATGATGTATGTGTTATTGTTGATTGTGTACTTGATAATGATGCTGTTGTTGTATAAGGAGTATTTGTTTGTTGCACATTGTTATCGTGTATTATTTGTTTAATTTCACGTTCAATGGATGTGATTTCCGATGTTTTCAACATTGATAAACCTCTTGGATCAAAATATGAATAAAACTAAAGTAAAAGATAATACTGTCGATCCATTGATTAGATCAATAAGACCTCTACACAATAATAGAAAATCGCCAACTTCACGATTAATTTCAATAGATAATTCAACATCATCATCAATACAAACACCGGATTGAAAGTTGTCGTCGAAATCATCTTCATCATCATCTTCATCATCTTCTTCATCATCATGATCGTCATCATCATCTTGATAATCACCTGTTGAACTATTTGTTGTTGTTGCTATTGCTGTTGATGTTGAAGATGATTCTTTATCATCATCTTCATGAGTAAGTTCTTCAACATCCTGCAAAATATACATATTTCGTAGAGAAATTTCTGATAATTAATATATTTTTACGAATAATTTCATGATCGATACGCGCCAAACAGGCGAATAATAGTTACATTTGTATTATTGTCTCACATAGACTATTTTGTCTGATTTAATGTTATCCTCAAAATGAATTTAAGAAAAAACGTTCTCTTTTATTTGTTTATATTTCATGATGGCTCATAACCGGCATATTTTTCATTTTTATTATATTATTTTGAAAAAATTTGATTCCACAATACATCAGAATATAATACAGTCGAGTACAATTGAGATTATACCTTTTGATATTTTCTTTTTACTTTATGTGCAAATAATAGCTTAATAGGATATGCATAAAGATGTAGTGTAGGGCATGTGCTAATGGATCGACCATACATAGATAGTTCATAGTTGTATTTTAGTTAAGTTTAAACAAATGTACGTTTCTATCACAAAAAGGCTTTTGTATCTGTAGCTTTTTTTTCTAGTGTCACTGATGATCAGTACTATCTATCATTCATTTCGTACTGTGCAAAAACTGATATTAGAAATTATTATTGTTGTTGTGCATTAAATTCTGGAGGAGACGTATATAAAAATCAATATTAAATATCATCATTGTTAAGAGTAGTGGAGATACAGACATATGAAGAGCGCGTCATAATAATTGAGGATAAATTGTTAATGACTTTTTTGATACTTTTGTTTTACGTAGAGGACTGAAAATTTATCACAAATATATCTGATTAAGGTCTTTTATTTCTGAAAGTTTCGACTCTCTAGCTGTAACTAATGACGAAATATATTGACAAGGTTGAACTGCATTATTTTTCGCATCCGATTTTTTCTTCATTTTTCACAATGAAAACAAAGCAAAAACCTCGTACGAAAATTGATGTTTTTCACCATTACCTACAGCTTCAGAGCTGAAGTTTTCGTAATTAAAAAATCTTGACTAGATGTACATGGAATAAAAATTTGAATCCTCTATGTCAAACAAAAGTATGAACAAAATTATCTTCAGTTATTATGAACTATCCTGTAAAGTTGGTGTAAGTTTTTGTAAAAAACAAGATTGTTCTTGATATTGATTTTTTTTTTCTAAGTCCGGTTTCTATTGATTACATTTATGCTGCATAGTATAGCACAAAATATTCTGCATATATAGGTATAGAATAATCGTTTGATTAACTGATAACAGAAAATAAAAAGAAAAAAATCAAAGGATATAATTTCTGTTGTCCTCGGCTGTATATCCTATGAAAATACTACAGATATCGAACATGAATGACATCTCTATTCTATAGACATTTTGATTAATTATGCTTACTTCGTCATCATCTTCATCATCATCTTCATCATCACCTTCATCATTTGATTGTTCAACTTCGCCATTTTCATCAATTTTGATTTTTTTTACTGTTTGACTTAAATGTTCGTCAACATCAGTAATTGTTGTTGTATCTTCTTTAATGATAGCCACTCGTTTCAACCATATACCTAGTCCATTACAAACTATTAAATGAATTTTATGGGCTATGCATTGAATACGATCTATATCTGGTCGAGTAAGATAATTGAATAAGGCGACCATATTAGGTGCTCCATCGCACGTGATACTTGATACTTTATCAAAAATTTTTAATTCATTTAATTGTTTTTCAATTTCATGACCTATTATTGGTGAATAATGTCTTTTTGGAAATGTCGAAAACTGCAAAACAGTTGCTTTTTGATAAAAATTATCATCAACATAATGTCCTGTTAAAACCATGTACGAATTTTGTCTTCTATCATTCCAAAAATCGGTCGTGATCGAGATGCTGGAGAGTTTTGATAAATTGTCAACCGTTGATTTCATATGCTTCGTGTGTAACCGTTTAATGTTTCGTTGTATCGTGTGACGATGTGGTGGTTTATATTCTAAAGATCAAAAGACACAAATTTAAGATTCGTAAAACGATGTTCTTCGATCTGACACTAACAAAATGTCGCTTAGAGAATGATTCCTATTGTAGAAGCATACTCTGTGAAAATGACTGTGGTAAATATAGAATTTCAATCCTCAAGTTCTATCTAATTGTCACAAAAGTGACATCGTTTTAGATATCTTTTAAGAAAACTATTTAAATAGATGAAAATAGGCAAACCACTTGCTATAACATGAACACAATCGTCACGAGAAAAACATTTAATAGAAAAGACTATGTGTCTGTAATTCGTTATTGTTCCTGGGGAGCTTCCATCATGATCCAGCTTTTTTTTGGCAACTGGATCCGACTAGTTTTTTTTGAGTTGGTTCTGTTATGTTTTGATAGAAAAACGGCGATGGTTATCGAAAACCTCCGATAATTTTGACTAGAATTCTATTGCAAGAAGTATGTCAAAACATAGCGAAGCATGTCTATTGTGGTGGCTTTTCGATCATTTCATTATGGATTTAGCAGTCCGAATGATCGACCTAGACTTTTTCATTATTATCTTTTAAAAATTTTCGCCTGTTCTTAATTAATACAATCATTCCACATAATCAGTTATTGTTCTTGCGACTGGAAACGTTCTATCGAAAAAGGACTAGTCTCTCGGTTCTTTCTACTTGTATCTTCTTCGAGATGTCACTCTACTAATCTCTCCACTCAAGAATGCGGGAAAACTCTGTCTTCGCTGAAAAATCATTAAGCACTAGAAAAGTTTTGGAACGATGAACTGGCAAAAGTTCGACCCCATCCGGTCGGTTTTAAATTCTTGTGCAGTCCGGTCTCACCGGACGAATTCCAAATTTGCCGTGAGAGACGTTTGTTAGAAACCGTCACAGACATCTCAACAGCCTCTTCCCATTAGGGATCATAACACGCGCAATAATTTTTTCTCATTCATAATGTAAGTAAACAGTTCGAGTGTGTTTCAAGTTTTAATTCCAGAGAAATTACGCTTACGCTAACAGCTTTTTATGCAAGCAAGTTTATTTTTAAAGCTTTTTGTATAAAAAAGAAATCAATCAAGGTAAATTATGATCACATAGAATATATCTAAGAATTTGAATTTCGAATCTGAGATACTGCATTTATAAAAACCAAAGTTTCACGTGCTAAGTGGCAGCATTATATATGACAATAAAACATATGTTCCACTATACTATAGTCAACAGTCATATTAACGCGAATAATTTATCAAAGAAACCTATACAGTTCTAGAGCATTTTCTTACCAGGAAGTGCAAATTGTAAAAATCTTTTTAAACCTGGTTTATCGAAGTCCGTGAAAGAACGTGCATCACGTACTACCGCTTCGATGAGTAATTTATCAAGTTGTTTTTTGACTTGAGGAGGTAATTTTTTCTTCCGATTTTTGTGTAAATCTTTTTTACAGATTTTAAATTCGTCCAACTGATGAACATGATGTAAATGTCGTCTTAATGACGTTGTTGACATATTCGGCATCAATAATTGAATTTTACAGTCATCATGCAGACATTCAGCTTTTAAAATGCCATTTACATTAACTTGTTTAAAATAATCCCATACTTTAGATTTTTTTCCAATTGTTTTATTCATCGCCATAGAAGAATCTTGAGAACGTGTAACAGCAACCATACTAATTTTCACAACAAGTAATAAAAGTGTTAATTTATTTCAAAATCACAAGAGGTATTACTTTCAATTACTTTTCCAGAAGAAGAACAGATAAACCGAAAGAACAATAGAATGATCAACTTGAAAAATATCTACAACTGAAAAAGACAAACACAAGGATAATAAAAAACAGAGCTTAGCGAGCAACTATGAAAGATATGGCAAAAGTTCTTGATAGAGTATAACCATGCTAAATCTCACCATTGTGCAATAGAATTTTGTCAAATATTTCTGAAAACAGAGTGAATATTGTATCTTCTCGTTTTTTTTCTACAACAGAACACTAATTTCGGACAGATTCTGAAGCAAAATACAATGTATTGTATCAAGAACCCATTAGCAGGCCAAGAACATGCCGAGATGTGCCAATTGCTACACCAAAAAAGTTTTTGACCTGAGATGAGTCGCTAACAGGTGAATAGATTTGATAGAACATTAGTTTCTGCAGAGCATGTCTAAATTCTAGTCACTTCCATAGGACATAATGTATATTATCGTTAACATGAAATAAAATGATAAAACCTGAAACAGGCTAATAACACTGTTTTTTCCAAAGAAAAACTATTATTTTCTTGAGTACATAAATTCTTAAAAGTAAATCTGAAGAATTTAATGACAACTACCGGTGTTTTTCATATTGCACAAGTGCACAAATCAAGCTAATACTAATACCATAGTCAAAAATTTTGTTCACGTTTATCAATGTCTTCCTAACGCAAGAAGCCTAACCATGGATCTTGTGATCGAATAGAACTCGAGCGTAGTAAGACCGAACTCGAACATCAAAGTATGATTCGATCGAGTTCGACCTAAATTCAAGTCGTTAATTCTGAGTCCAAATTGAGTTCAATTTTATATAATTCGGTATTGGTAGTCAAAATTGAGATTGGGTGTCGTATATGTTTCGTTAAATGGTCCACGCCTACTAATAACATATTATTGGAACAGTAGAGTTTCCTGTGTTGACGAATCTTTTTTTTCTCATCAACAACTAACGAGCTCCAAAGTTCTCTATGGCGATCTCTTTTTTCATGTTTATTGTATATATATAGACTTATCTATTCAAACTCGATTCCCCTTAGTCTTTAGTTCGATGTCATTATCAGCATCAACCATTGGCTTCTAATAATGGTATGTCATATATATATACTGCAACTCTTTTTATCAAAACAGATACTGTAAATGTCATTTGCTGGATATCAGACTAGTTATATCTACCGGATGCTGATCGAGTATTCTTTCTTGATAGCAAACAGGCTGTTTATTAATCCATCACTCTCAGTACAATTGAACTCGATGAAAAGTCATCTATTGAAGTCGAACTACATTATTGCAAGATTGAACTCGACTCGAACTCGAACATATAAACTCGAGTTCGAGTCGAGTTCGAGTTTA